AACGGGACTGACGACGCACGGGCGATGGCGAGCGGCTGGTCCGACGTTCTGGATTATGCTCTGCACCTGTCTCAGCACGGTAGGACGGGGCATAAGGTGCACGTTCAGAGCGAGGCCGCCAATCATAGAAGCTCGGTCGAGGTGATTAGGTCCACCGGCTGCGGCAATGGCGAGCGATGTGTCCTATCCGATGGCACGTGAAACATATGGGCCGATCATCATGAGTGCGCCATTCAGCTGGGTTTCATCGTGGCGCGAACGTGCGGTTCGGAGTGGCAGCCGCAACGACTGGAGCCGAGCTGGAAGTAGCAGGGGCATTTTGATGAGGTGGCGAAATGCCCATATTCGCGATCTCTTGGCGAACCACGGCCTGTATCATTGAAACAGCATCGAGGTTGTGTCCTGGCGCGCTGACGCTAGACATAGCGGGAGCCATAGCCTCGAGTTCCCGACGGACTATTCTGGTGACGTTTTCTGGCGCTGGTGGTTGGTGTAGTGTGGGCAAATCTTCGCAAGAGGACGTAGCCGCCGTGTTGGGAATGCGGTCAAATCGGTGAACTATGCGCCTACTTTTTGCCTGTTCGAAGCGACGACATGCTTCGATGACCGACTCCACCGTCGAGCAGTCCTTGCACAGGAGAAAATTGAAGGCGTCATCCGCAATTTTTTTCAGGATGTGTCCGACTTTGTCCTCGTCGAGCATGTCCTTGTCGACCTTGCGGCACAAAGCCAACACGTCCCGGATGTACGCGATGTAGGGCTCTGTGGATGTCTGGGCACGAGTCGCAAGCTCTTTCTTTGCGGCCACTTGACGTCCGATGGGTTTCCCAAATAGATAGCGCAATTTCTGCTTACAGACGTCCCAGCTAGTCAACTCTTCTTGATGCGTCTCGTACCAGAGTTTTGCCATGCCATGCAAGTAGAAGATGATGTTCGCCAACATAAGCGTCGGACCCCAATGGTTGCTGCTGCTGACGCGCTCATATTGAACCAGCCAGTCATCGACGTCTATGCCACTTGTGCCGTTGAATGGACCTGGGTCACGAGGTTGCACCACAACGATCGGCTGCGGGGCTGACGGATCTTGTTGACATTGAGTAGCCTGGTCAGTCATCGTGGTAGCTGCAATGCGCCGTCCGCTGCGAAGATCCAGCTCGTTGGGCTGTATAGCGAGTGGTACCCCGCACCTTCCACCAATGATGTTACGGGGAATAAAGTATACACTGGTGAACAAATGTGTACTGGCGAATATACTGGCGAGCTACTGCGTACGACGCTGCTGCAGTCCGAGCACGTTCCCGTTCAGCACTTCGTCGTCGTCATCCTCAGGCATCTACTTAGCCCGTGACAATATCTACAACGAGCTAGCACACCATCTACACTAGAGGCTTTTTTGCAGATGTCAGATGTCTTACAGCTAAGAGTGCATGCTTTGCCGAAATGATCGTGGCCCAGCACACGCCACAGATCGCACGCCTATCCAGCACCAAAGCGAGCAGAGATATTCTCCTTAAGCTCGGTTTGCACACCATAGCGGAAAGGGACAACGTTCAAAAGTTACCCAAAGCCACGTTAAAATCAATTGCAGCGCTCCTCTTCCCAAGCAACGTACACCCGGTCCACAATCATGGAAGAAGACTCGGCCGCGCCATAGCCCTCGCGGCAGATGCCGCAAGATTTCCCGACCAGACAGCTTTCGTGGATGCAGCGAAAATACCGGGAAAGCACGCCTACTCGGTCGTAGTAATGACGGACATGGACGAACACGCAGCTCCCTGACTCTTTACACCAAGAGGCCGGATGTAGCTGAACAAGCAGTAATAGCTCTAGCTCTAACAGATCTGAGCTTCACAACAATACACAGTGACTCTAGAGCAGCCACTCGAGCTTTCGCAAAAGGCGGGATAGACAAGACGACACTAAGGATATTAGGTGGACATAACATCACCCAACACTCCATTGTATGGTTCGCGGCACACATGGGCAGCTTAGGGGGCAACCTGCGGAATCTCTTGATCGCTTACAGCGTATGTATAGAGTGGAAAACTCTTTGGAGCAGTGGAAGACACTCCTCGCTAGCTCGGACCCGGAGGTGCAACTAGCACCCCTGGACCACGTCCGGCAGGCGGCGCAAGTAAGTGGAGCCTTGGAAATGGGGCCCCACCCATCTAGCTCCTAAACCCCTTCTTTTTTGCTGCCCAATAAAGTTATTTCTCTCTCTCTTTCAACGAGACAGCACACGAGTTGGCGCGAGGACTCATCGACCGCGTCTCTCCGGTTTCCCCCTCTACACTGCACATGGAGTACAGGGATCAGTTATTTGCTTTCAACGAAATTACGAAGCACTTTTATCTAGGCCGGCGAGTGTTCCCCCTCCCGGATAAGAAATTAACGCGCAGCCAGTCGGTCACGTTACGCTTGCTCCAGACTAACTCATACCCTAGCCCCTGGCTCATGAAGCATATCAATTGAGCCAGACTACGACGGACAACATGTGTGTGAACAGTGTTGTGAACGTGTAGATTTGAACCATATGCTCTGTGGTTGTGCATCGAGTGACACTTACGCCAAGAACAAGCTACAGTGTGCCAAAGTGCTAAGAAGTGCTTGACTAGCAGACCAACTTCGGGCAGTCCAGGAGGCCCGTGAGGCGGCAGAGAGCTTCGGGCTCTCTGTCCTGACGTGGGAGATGCCCTCTACACCTGGCGTCTAGCCGAGTGTCCTTCAGCACCCCTTTTGGTGTAATAAAGTTTCACCACCACCACCATGCGACCAAGGATTGTCTACTCGTAGTGTCTAAGTTGTTGGGCTAATATTCATTGAAGGCAGCGTTGCTGTTCTGTTCTGTTCTGTTTTAACTGTTTTACTGTGGAGAGGTTGAGGTGCCTATTGCCTCGGCTACTCCATATCACAAAGTTCTGCAGCGAAAAATAAAATAATAATACAAAACGGTACCCAAAAATTAAAAATACGAAAAAGAAAAAACATAATAGCACACTGAAACCACTTTAAATATCATGCCAATACACAGTTTTTTTCGCGCAGTTCACACAGTCATAAACTACTTACACGCACACCTTACTAATCTAATGTCAGTGTTGCTGTTACAACCGAATATGGCGAAAGTTGTAAAGCGCTTGCTGCTAATTGACCTACATTAGGGTGTTTTAGCAGAGGCTATAGAAAGTTTCAAAATAGTATAGGCTAAGTTTTGCTGTAGCTTTTGTCACAGCTGCGCATGCGTTATATGCTATCCTCTTGAGTGACAAAAACAGTGTACGTACCCAATGTACGATGTCGCTGCATACCTTCTACAACAACACAACAACCTAATAACGTACCGCTTACGCTACGGTTCTCTATCGTTTTGTGTTCAATGTTACACAATCTGTAAACATTCTGGCTAAGCCATTTGCCAGATGCGTTCAATACTATGATGAAGTTATAATAGTGACCAAAAGATATCCTACAGATTAAACTAGCAGTGTTTCCACACGACCGTACGGCATTTTTGTATACCGTATATGGTCAAACGGCAGTTCTAAATGTTTTTACTGGCTCATATTTGCCTAGCTAAACGGTCATTAGCACTTAGTTAGCCATAGTTAGCCACCGCTATAGTTGTTTGCACTGCAACATGAGCAATCGTTTGCCTATATTAACGCGACAGCGTTAAAGAACTCGTTTCGCAGAAATTCTGGCACCGGGGGTCGTAGGTTGTGAGCGAACAATAATTTTTACGTCACCAAAAAAACAAGAAAGATGAAAATAAAACAAAAATTTATGGTTGGAAGTAGGGATAGAACCAAGGCCCTTTGCGTGGCTAGCAGCTGTTCAATGACAGAGCCATGCCGTCCCTTGAAACTGCTTCGGAAAATACACCATGTGAATGTCATGCAGTGGAGGGAGATTGCGTGGCAGAAGCGTAGAATCACGGCAGTGGTGAAAAACGTGGTAATTACACAACTAGCACTAGCGCTTCGTAAAGACGAACGCTTTACAAGGCGCTCGGACATATTCAATCATAAGCTGCAAAAGCATCAGCAAAGTGAGCGGCTGCGTAGGTTCAGGTGTTGCTTTACGGAAGCGTTGTGTTCCATTCACCGATCCGCAAGAAGAAACAACTACGGTGTAGCGGGCACTTATCAACTGTGCTTGCAGTAGGTATTCTACGATAGCTCGAAATGGCCAACGTCCCGTGCCCAGTCACCTGCTTCCTACAGCATGGTTAAAGCATGCTCTGAGGACCGAAGCGAGGCTAGAAGGTGTTGCGCAAGGGTCCCAATTACGTTAGGATGTTTTACTATTGAAATCTAGGCTCAAGCGTACTTCAAGTTTTCGCCCCTCACTAGCCATCACTGGGCCAACATTAGCGAACGATTACCCATTGAAAGAAATGCTAGTAGAGTGCGAGTAAACATGGAAAGCAGCCCTAATTAGATAGGGCTAGACCCGCAGCTCGTAAAGAATGTACAACCCTGTTCAATCAAGCCATATCTACGGGAAAGATATAGAACGGCGAAATTCTATGTTAAGAGTATAACATGCTCAAACGTTTCTAGGCATACATTGGTAGCTGTGGCTTTTTGAAAACAAATTATCATCGATAGCGACAACGTCATTGGGAAAGTCGTTTCGTTCCTGCGTACTATAAAAAAATTCTGACTTCACATTAACGGCCCACACGAATTTGAGAGGAGTGAGACTACGAAATCAATTCATTGTGAAGGGATGTGCAATGCTACCATTTGTGAAATAAGCTCGAGTATGCTATTTTTCTACAGTATGCTAGTTGTGTAAAATTTAGGCTGGATTTCATTGTCGGGTATAGTTGAACAGATGTGTCAACAACAAATGTCATGATCACTATGCATGTCGGACTGCAGATGTTTCGTTGCTAACGTTTATATCTAAAATATAGCAGGGCTGAAGCTTATAATTTCGCTACTTTCGCAGTAGCATGACATTTACCCTTTCCTTTTTGTCTCGTAATAACGCAGGTGAAGAAAAAGACCGATGCCAACAGCACCGATCGGACCTCTACTGCCCAGCAGTCGAGACACTGGACGATGGAAGAACCAACGCCGTCTCCGGTCACAACAACCACGACTATGGCACCTCCGACGACTAGGGACTACTCCGGTCTCTACATCTCGCCTCCCATCATGGTTCTCGATGGCAATGGAGAAAGGGACAACACTCGCGTCGTCCACGACGTACTAGTTGTCAAGAACCGGCCATCCCGACGTCCATCAACCCTGCGACCTCCGGGATCATCAAACCTGGTCCAACCTTCCATCATCAGAAGACCTCCGCCTTTCTGGGCAGGCACCGCCGTCCCGTCGGGTTATGGCGTCTCGCACGCCGTGCTCATGAACAACCACCGGCCTCCTTCGGCGTCGTCGGCATTCAAGAGACCTTTTCCGGGCGTCACCTCAATACACATCTACCCCCTGACTACAGCGCCGTCGACGACAACGTCGGTGTACCCGCCGCCGGGAACAATCGCTTCGGTGCCACTCTCCGTGTACGACACGGTGGCGAACACGACCATCGTTCACCAGAACATCATCACTCTGTCCAAGCCTACGTATTCGTCCTCGTCTTCATCGTACTCGCCGTCTCAGACAACCACGTCTTCACCGCCCTACATGGAAGAGGAAGACTTGGGCACCACGACCGAGGCGATGACGGAGTCTGCCGAGACATCGCAGTCTTCGCCGTCTAAACCTTCGACAACCGAGCCACTGCCGGACTGGGCCATTCAGCACCAGCACCAACACAGGCCCGTGGTTACGACGACGGCGCCTTCTTCGAGTCTTGTGGCGCCTATCGGTTCCATGCCTGGAATCCTGGGTCCCATCGGCAACCTCATGCAGAAATTTCCAACGGGATCTCTGTCTATGTTCCAGAACATCGGACGCATCATGGCCGTGCTGCCGACGATGTTGGCCGCGTTCCTCCTTACGGCGTTGCTCTTCGTGTAAAACAAATAGGCAACCTCAGCCGTGATTGCAAGGAAGCTTTAAATGTGAGCTGACGAAAAGGAGGAGGACAGCTGGTGGCAGTGGATCTGCGTAGTCCCAGAAATTAGGCGCTGCCATCGTAAACAGCTCAGTGACAGAAAACTAAGTGTACACCCCCATTACCCCGTTGGATGTTTCATTCGTCAGACACTTGCGACGATCCTCCACCGCTGAAGAGAAGCCCGATGTTCGATGTGACACAGTGATATGTATCTCTGTGCTACTGGGTGGTCTAACGTTATAAACTGAAGTTGTGTGCTTGCAGATGATCACCTTGTGCCTGGAAAGGATTACCTCACGTCGTGCTACTGTTAGCCAAACGAGAAACGAGGAAAACTCTTGACATATCCCGGCTACCCTAAGTGGTAACTAGTGGAACGTGGATTACCTTGATGGCACCGTGGTTACTGCGCAATCAGGCTCTGGGTCTACGGTGTCGTGCAAACGGTCAGCTAATAGGCAACATCATTATCGTACAGGCCTGGCTATAAAGCCCGATGCGTAGCTAAGTATATCGCATAGAATGTTAAAAATACCGACCAAGTTGATCTTGATGAAGCCTGACTGACGGTACTGCATTGAAGAGAGCTTACAGAACGAGAGCTTACAGAATGCCACCGCCAATGGCTATAAAGGATAATCGACCAAACTGATGGTTGTGTCTACAAGTACTAAGCTGTATGAAGTTCCTTAACACGAAGCTCTGCTAGTTCGAGGTATTCATTGCTTAATGGAAACAATATACTTAGCCCTCAAGGGAAGTATTGGTCAGTGGGCCAGTTCGTACGGTACAATTGAGTACGCTGCAGTGTCGTAGCCTTTTCCGGTCGACTGGGTGCTTAAGTGCGTTACAAGGTATAGGGTGCGTTTCCCGCCGCATTCCTCGGGAATCTTCGGTTACCGAAAGTCTGGCTGGTACTTTCGATCATACCTCAAATCACAAGTTTATATGCTGCCTCCCCCCTGCCCTTTCTTAAAGAACGAAAACTATCTTCGGCCCCGTGTAGTTAAGTGCGACTGATGCACAATAACGACACCTTAACCCTCCAGAAATGTTTCAAAAATGTTTCTTGTTCTAACACAGGCCTCTGCACGCTGTCGTAACAAAATCATAAAAACATGTCGCTGATATTTATAATCAACCTCATTGTCATCGTTGTCAATACGATAAGAAAATTTAAAGCGCTGTGCCAGTTCGATATATATTTCATGGCTTAGTATTATTTCTGCAGCTAGTTCGCAGTTATTCAATTTCCACAAGTTTATGGGCTTTCCAGTTCAGGTTTTATTTAGTGAATGTTATGGAAGCAACTGCAGTATTAGAACTACTTGCAGGGTGGGAACTATGCTATGTAGGACTAGGTGAGTCAACAGCATGGGAAACACGGTAAAGAAGTAAACGCAACTATACGGCAAATGACAGCATGGTATATTCGCATCTATGTAAATCATAACGATGCAGCAATGCGGTCTACAATCATGAAGTTCATCGGTCACGTTTGAGTTTTTTCCTTCTTTTTCTACATAGACTATCCACGCATTTAGCGATGCATTTGTTCACCTAAATTGTTTGTCCGGCTTTTTCGCAGTGCTGTCAGATAGTAAATAACTCCAGTAATTACGCGTCCGTGGTTGAAACACAGTTGTAGCCATTCCATTTGAGAAATAGCCGGCCAGGTGACACAGTCGGCCACCTAAAGCAATTGGGAGTAAAATAATTGACGAAAATCAGATTTACACGCAAATTCGACGAATCACAGCACCCTACCGATGCACATAGAGGATGTCGCAATTCTATAGGCCTACTGTTAAGTTAAATCACGACCAAAGGAATTGCATATCTGTATATTATCATCGACTAAGCTGCCTAATGTGCTGTTTAATATCAATTCAAATGGCATATCGATCTACGTTAACTACCTAATTCATGAATATACTTATGATGGTAAATCAACTGGTGAGTTAAATGAGCATCCAATCGAACAGAACGTCCGCATGACTCAGCGTGTGCTGTTAAATATCTTCCCCTTCTCTCTATTTTACTCAACTTTTCCCCTCTCTCCAGGTGCAGGGTAACAAACTAGACGTAGTCAATTATCTTCCCTACCTTTCCTATGTTCCTTTTCTCTCTACCTCTCTGCACATGACGTCATCAGCTAAACTGCCTCACTGTTAAGCGTTGTCAATTGAAATGGCACGGCTCTAGATTAACCAAATATTTTGTGGCTGTACCGGTTCCGCGTAAAGCCCATTTTATGATAACGCGCTGTATGACCTCTCCGTTCAAGGCGAATATGAGACAACCTCATCTGTGAGATGTGCCACATCTATATGCAGCATTAACTCGAGAGTGCTCCAGTTGTTTTGTTTTTTTTTTTTCAGACTCAACCATATTACTTCGTGCCTGCACGGTCTGCATACACATCCACAGGCATAAAAAAGAAAAAGTATGTGACAGTTTTACGACGCTGGGCGTCGTTTGCAGTGCGGACTGTTGTGAAACCTCCGTTCTATTTAAAAGCCAATAAAAATATTTTCTATTTTGTGAGCTGTGTCTTCTCCACATCGACCAAGCAGTGGGGAGAATGGTTAAATAATGAAGAAGTGTACACCAGCCGAGTAAAGCTTAAACAGCGATCTTAAGGGCTTAATCAGGCTTTTTTGGCTGGTGATAGGTCTGTCCTTGACTTGGACAGAGTGTAATTAAGCCACAGCCGGTCACAGACCATGCAAAGATGTGCAAACTGAGAGTGCTTCATTTACACACGTTCCCGATGAGGGCATGAGACTTTACTGAAGAAACCATTTGCTGTAAACAAATGGTATGGCTTGCGTGACACCATTGATAAACACGCACACAAGAGAAGAGTATAGGACACTGCGTTCTTGTTGCCTTGTGTCTGCATGTCTTTTGCAATTAAGGTAGTGTTATGTTGTGAGCAGCTTATTCTTATCAATTAAGGGCTGAGCACAATTGTTTGTTGTAGGCAAGCGAGGCTATTTTTTTGTAGTATTGGTACGTATGGTTAGTCTTAAACTTCGTCACTAAGAAACTATAATAAACGAAAGAAACGATGTGAGTGTAAAGTTCATAATTAACAAAACAGGTATTTCTCAATATTGATAATATTAAGGTGCTGCATAAGTGTCGGAAGTGACGTTGAGACACCTTGACAAATGCTGAATATTTTCTGATGACCACATGACACCCAAATCTATACGCGTTTAGAATAAGTATGTAAAAAAACAGATAATCTGAGCAATCGAACTCACTACATCAAGCTGGTGTGTGCACAATTTAAGGCAAGAGCTAGCGTGAAATTATGCACTTCGGGTGTCGAGGATGGAGCTAAATTGAAAAATAAAGACAGTTTTTACATTTTACAAAGTTAAAGGCTACAAGCCGTCTTCCGGAATCACGCCATCAGCGAAGCAGTGCGAAGATATACCAAAAGGTACAGCCTTACGACGACCGATTCCGCACGTCATCTCGGGAAGAATAGCTTTGGAAGCAGTCTGCAGGATCCAGCTCTGTCCTTGTCACGGCTAACGATGGTAGACCGACACGGGTAACCTAGAACAACACGAGGTGAAAATGTTAAGTGCATGTAAGCACAGTCGCAGTAGGAGTCGTATGAAGATGCCTCTTACCAAGATAATTCCAAAGGTAGCAGCAACGTGCCGTCCGCCAATCAGTGCGAAGGTGCAGAAAGGTTCATCCACGTGATGACCGATGCTGTGGGTGATCTCGGGAACGGATAGCTTTGGAAGAAGTCTGCAGGAGCCAGCTGTATGTGTAGCCAGCTGTATGTGTAGCATACTTCTGTCAGCAGGGTCTCTCCTGCTGACAGAAGTATCAGCGATTTAAGTGGGGGGGGGGGATGATTTTTAAACGAAAAGAAGAGAAAAGTAAGTGAGCCCCGCAACTGTCTCTCAGGGGGAGGACACCTCAGCAGTAGCTCACGAGTGATGGGGGTAGAGAAGGTAATAAAGGGATAGTATTCAAAGATAGAGAGATAGAGAGAGAGGAAGGAAACAGCGAGGCGCAGCGACAGCGAGTGACGGAAATAAGGAGAAAACAGGAGAGATGGACACGGTTGCAGGAGTCCGAGGACGGGGAACCACTGTCGAGAGCTCTTGTAGGCATCAGGAGATGGCGTAGCGCTAATCCAATCAGCCAGAGCTATACGCTGTCGTCGCCGTCGGGGACCGGCGTCAGGAGTTGGCGTAGGATCAGTCCAGTCAACCAGAGATGCACTGTCGTCGAATAACGCGAGGGCACAACCGGTTGGCATGGAGTCCAGCGAGCGAGTCAGACGCCGCTGACACGGCAATACGTAATGTCCAACGCAATTTTCTCCTGGTCTGAGGCTAAACATTCTCCGATGCACAGCTTTTTCGGAAACGGGACATCCGCAAGGCCTGGTTTATCTGATTAGATGTATAATCAGCTTATTCAGAAAATGAAAAACTTTGCAACTCGCTATCTTCAGTAGTGTACTACAGTCCATACATGGACGCGTGGATGGTTGATGAGACTCGAAGGAAAGCCTGCAAGTAAACCTCAAAAGCGCACAGTAAGGATAGCAGCGTGAATAAAAGGTATCATGGGGAACACAGCAACCAGGAAAAGCAGCAGTGACACCAACGAAATCCCATGGTAGGGAGAGCAGCAAGTCTTCCAGCCCGGCCAAATAAGACCTTGGCGAGGACAATCCGGGTGCCGTTTGCTTCCGCGAAACAACATTTCGTTCTAGGCCACTATCACACTTGGCCTACTCGACACGAAACAGTGGTCACTTCACAAAGCCATTCGCAAGGAGTTCTGCGCCCGTGACGAAACCACAAGATGATGCCTATCATAATCCTATAAGGCAAAAGGTATACATGCGGTGCGCCTATACTCTTCGATTCTATTAGACACGACCAACACCGACTGCAACTGCCGGCCACCAAAGTCAGGGCCTCGTCAGCCTGAATTTATACTGACATTTCACTTGCAATGTTACGACGACGGATGGTGCTCAGATAATTGCCGTAGTCCGACGTCGATGTATGGCAGCCAACAGTGACATGGCGTTTGAAACGTTCCAGGAGCGCTCTATAGAAGCACAGAATGTTTAAACAACTGGTGTGTTCATCGTGACGTAGTTCACAGGCTTACGCGGACCATGTTCACTGAAGTCGACCAAACCGGGCGGTGCGTCCAACGAAGTCGGTGAAGTGCACGTACCGCAGCGATCAGCACATACTTTCCACGTACGCTAATCAAGTGCAACATGGTTGACCACCACACGCGTTGGTTGTGGAAGGAAGCTCTGATCAGCGACGCGAGGAAGTAACGTAGCTATTGAGCTAACGAGGCTGTTCCGCGTGCCGTTGGCTGCCTAAAAACCTTTTTGGCATTACAAAACAACACACGTAACTATAACTCGTACGGCACGCAAGCCACATAACTCTAGGAAATAGGGCTTTATGTCGCAACGTGTATCCCTGACGAAATTCAGAGGACGTCTATCAAACAGCCGTGCCTAGTTTCAGCTACCTACCCAACTGTGAGCTGAGCTTGAAACTTTATGCGTCGGCACACCAGCGATGTGGCCCGTCCTGTCAAGTTCCGTCACGGTGAACACCTATATATACGTGGCCGCAACCCACCCAGGGAAGATTCGGGCTTAATTTAACGGTGCAGTTTGCCTCACCTAACTTTCTGAGCGTGTAACCATGACGACTGGCGTGTACCGATTCGAGAAATCCAACTGACAGACACGAAGCTGCGTATACCACCCTCGCGAGCTCGGAGACTCCTTAAGGAGTTTTAGAATAGCAAGTTAGCCAGCTTTGCGGTCATCCGCTATTTCCGTTCCATAGCGGGAGCCCGCACCCGGTTAGCGTAATCGCACGCATGCGCAGTGACACGGAACGCCACCGCAAAGCTTTGCATGCGCTATTCTGAAACTCCCTGTTATACTTGTTGACCGATGGCCAAGCACTCCGTGAGAAAGAGTGGGCCCGCTAGACTTCGGAGAAATGTCCACCACGAATCAAAGTTCTTTATCCAGGCCGATGGTTGGTAAAAAAAAAAGGCACAACGAAATATGAGTGCACGGAAGACATGACTTGCGTCTTGTATGCTCACTTCACCGGCTTCAACAGAGTGCCATTAGAATATATATATATATATATATATATATATATATATATATATATATATATATATATATATATATTGGAGCGTTGCGTGTATACTTCAGAAGC